CTTCTTGTAATTGGTCATTTTACAAATAATATAGCTCATCGATGTCATTTTGTGGTTTTGAACATTTTGCTCATCGATATCTTCTTTGGTCCTCATTAGTGATGATTGGGCTGAATGGACATGCCAAGAGGGAGTAGAATTTCTTCATGCACTGCACCAAGTAAGAAAAGTAAGAGGCATGTATTCTGGACCTTGGACGCGGAGAAGTAGCGACATCTTTCTCCATCGTCCAAGAAGCAGCGCTGCCCTTCTCTATCCGTCGTGCAGCAAATTGAGCCAACCCTCTGTAGCCTCCTGTATGAAGAGCTGCCACCCCTTTACAAGGTAAAATCACTAATCGGACTGTCCTTTGTGATGTTATTGCTTGTGTGATGATGATCTGTTTTGCTTGGTCGTCTAGCGACTGATTCTGTTAAACCGCCTATCGAAAGATCATACCTGTCAATTTGATTTTTGATTTTTTTTAAAATTCCCTGTGCATCATTCAAAGTGAAAAGAGTAAGATGACACTCCATATACTATGTGTCAAGATTGTTTTCTAAATCATGTTTTTTGGCCATTTCCTTAGCAACAATACACATGTTGTTATTGAACCCTCAAAAGAATTTGAAGGTCCGTACAAACTACAAAGAGACCAGGCCCCAGCAAGACTGCAAAATATGTCTCTGAATATACACTACACGTATATCTTTGAATATATATCTCTTTATAGATATAGAAGTAATGTTATTAGATCACTGGATTGCACAGTAGCAGTAGCACACAGTTTCAGGTTGTGGATGATGTTAACTATCCAGCAATAAAATAGTATGTTCAAAATGTATCTAAAAGAAATTGCACGTGTTGGTTCTTACAAGTTCCATTTGTTCCAGTTCTGCAATCCATTTGTGAGTAAATATTAGTCTGCTACCACATGGTCATATACAACTGTGTGAGACTTAAACTATGAAAAAATGTCGTTATTTGGTTGTTTTTATATGTATCTCTAAAATGAAACCGTGACGTTAGTACGGGCACTATACTAGTCTAATGATAGAAGATGGGGGCCATATGGTCCTAGAACTCTATAAAAAACGATGACCCTATGGCTAACAGTCACACAAACAAGACAATTCCAATTATACCAACATTGTAGCATCACTAGCATTCCATAAAACGAGAAGTCAAGTGGATTACCTTCCAATTCCCAGCGGCAATGAAGTCCCCATCCACCTCAATTCTCTCCATGCTGTCTTATTTGTCAAACTTCATCTAGCAAGAGAAAGGTGGGGCCAATTATACAATATGATATCAGTCCACCTAGAGGAATTAGTGCTCAGTGCGGACATGTGCGCCTGTGCGGTCGAATCAAGAAAACTAATGTTCACGTATATCTTGGAATTGTATTTTGCACCATTTGAATATGAAGCCCAAATCAGTCACCGTGCGTACAAACAGGTTATAAAAGCCAATTTTTTGAACTGCAAAGTTATACTGCAGTCATACTGGTATATGAAATGCAAATTTAATTGCCCAAAGCCGAAAGAAAAGAGACACATGTCTTATGACTTAAGAGCAAACCTTGGTACGTAATAGAAATGATTTTTTATAAAAGGGCATAGATACATAAGGGCTTTGAATATTACATTAATTAAACTGACAATATAACCAGGAAGTAGAACAAATCAGCAATTATACTCGGCTTGCTTCAAGCATTAGCCCCAAAGGCTCAAACTAACCGACCACCATCCATTAGGAAGCATTAGCAGGAATAGAAGAAAGCAAAATGTATCCATGGCTTGTGAAGACAGGGTAATTGGTGACCACTACTAAAAGAAGCATAACAGAACTGCCAGCTACTAATGATGAACAATAAGTAAATGCACACTTCTCGTCCACCAATTAGCAACTAACGATGTAACAATGGCTACAATACTGTAGAGCAATGGCTTGTGAGGACAAGGTATCTTGGTAACCATCACAAAAGGAGCATAAAAATAACCGCATAAAAATAACCGCAGCTACTATGAGAAATGACTAAAATGCATATGCGGTCCACCAAGATCATCTAAACCTAGCAGTTATTTGTTTATTACAAGCACACATATAGAAGCTGTTTTTTTAATAACTACATCATAACCTCTTATATGTTATATATATATTTCTATAAATTAAAGGTTTGTTCATTTTTTTTCCATTTAACATCCGTATCAAATAATCAAAGGCTAGCTTTTGGACATTTTAGGTACTTTACCCACATACTGAAGAAGCAAATACCAACACACAAGGAACAGAGCACTATGGTGACGATCGGAAAAATCAAGGAGGCGTCGTCCATCTTGGTTTTGGCATGGGCAAAACATTTAGTGTCTCTAAGGCTGTCTCTAACTGAAGACCCATTGCGGAACCTAAATCTAAAATAGATCTTCAACATAATACCTATAGCCTCCAACAGAGTACCTATATGGAAGACCAATTTTGTGTGCCAAGAGAGGCATAACCTCAATCTGAGTATCCTCTCTTCTGGAGACTCATTTGTAGAAAAGGTTGTTTTTTGGGGTCTTGTCGTTGGAGAAGACAAAAATAGGTATCGAACTCTTTGCCTGTAGCGCTATCCAAAGAATGAATGGGTCTTGTATTTTGGATCGCAGTTGTTGGAGCACGAGAGTAGGTTTGTGTAAACCCGGTTAGTTGGAACGTAAAACTCCCTTCTCTATCAACGAAACTGACACAATCTCGTGCCGTTCGTTCCAAAAAAAAAGTAATGAATTTCAGAAAAAAAAATGATTGATGCATGCATGGATAAAGGTCCAAGAAGCATGAGGATGAAATCGTACCCGAGGCAAACCTGGCGCTGAAGGAGCAAGCCTTGAATCTGTCCATGACCACGGCAGCTTCTTCCATGTCCGTGCCCTTCCCCTACTCTTGCCATGCTGTTTGGGAGGCACAAAACAGCGTTGAGCCACGAATGGCGGTCGGATGATTGGGGAGGCTGCCATTGCCATGCATTGTTGTTCGGGTCCGAAATTCTCGTACGCCGGTCCTGCTAAATTTGGGAAGTGGCTGCTTGGATTCAATGGGTGTGCTATGGCGCAGGCGATGAGGCATGCTGGTTCGCACTGTGGCAGCAGGTTTTGTGACCATACGCAGATTATATATATTGGAAAAATCAAAATGCCTTTTATCAACTTCAGCTGGATTGCCCGAGTGGTACCCCACAGCCAGCATCTTTTTTTGTCTCTTAATATATTTTTTGCAAGTTTTCTTTTACTGGCTTTATTTTTTTGCCTTTTGCTGACTTTATTTTTTTTTTGTCTTTTACTGACTTTATTTTTTTGTCTTTTGTATTTTGCAACTTTTCTTTAGCTTTCTATACCATGTCTTTTTTGCCTCCCTATATTTGGTATTTTGCAACTTTAGGGTCTTATCAAGCATTTTATTTGAAAATATTTGCCTCTTAATACATTTTGCAACTTTTCTTTACTGGCCTTTTTTTTTTTGCCTCTCTATATTCTGCAACCCATCTGGCCCAAGCCGCCAATAGACCTCTATCAACGAGAGTACAAGACGACGACTTCCATCTGGCATCCCACCCCGTGTAATTGGTTATTGTTGATCGTGAGGTAAATTTGTCAATAATTGGACGATAGTCCATTCCATTGCTTTGCTTATTTGCTTAGCAGATACTCGGTTGTTATTATGATTCTAACTTTCTAACTCTAAAGTATTTATTTTCTATATTAGATGTTGCCTAATAAGCATTTGTGAAGCGCCATTGTCTTATTTGAGGTAATTATGATAGTTATTTTACAATTTTTTTAGTTTCTTCTGTTATTAGGTAGCGTGCTCGTGCATTGTTACGGGACAACTAAACTTTTGTACTAAAAACACACGGATCGCACGTTAAGATAACAATACAGTAAGACATTAAACTGATATTTAATTCAAAAAAGTAAAGTTTATGAAAGTAACTCTTACTAAGAGCACGGCACCGCAGGCTCACAAACTTTACTATATAGACCTTTCCGTGATATAACGGGAACCGAAAATATTTATGAAATTATATATTTGGCTGGGTTAAGCTAATATAAAATAACATCATATATTGGACTTTGTTTTTTTGGATTAAATGTCAGTTTAATGTCTTACTGTATTGTTATCTTAACGTGCGATCCGTGTGTTTTTAGTACAAAAGTTTAGTTGTCCCATAACAACGCACGAACACGCTACTTAGTGGACAGATAAATATCAAGAAATTGTAGAGATAAACTATTTTTACATATTGTTATTAATATTTATTAGAATTGTTGCAAAATTCAGTATAACGGTATCATTTACTTGCCTTGTCATCAACATGTCTTGAAAGTTGAAATACTCTTTCAGGCAGCTGTTTGATTAAGGTTTTCTCTCTGGTCTGGTAAGGAGATAGACAATTTTAATATTGAGTTGGAGCATATGGTGATAGGTTGGAAAAAATATTGGAATCATATACATAGAGAGATGCATGCATCGGATTTGCGTGCAACATGGCGTTTGTGCATGGAAGAAAATGCATAGCAGTCACTGTTCCCAAACGCAGACTAATTTCATTTTATTATTACAGGCATGCTAAAGTTAGTTTCTATGTCAAATGGAGGAACATTTGAAGTCTTGAATTGTAATGTGGAACTAAATGAGTAAAATTTTAATTCTTTTGCATGCTGACATCAGGACATGCTATTCTCAATAAAATGCGGTAAATCTGGTTTTGTAGCAGACTATGGTCAGACAAATTAATTTGGCACCTTCACTCATCTGTGCAAGGTGACAAGGGATTTAGACATCAGCAACATCCATTGAATCCACGCCCCAGTAATTGAAATGGAAGGATACAAGGTACAAAGCTTACTGGCACAGAAAGCACGAAGGGTTTCAGCCTTTGGTACATCATTGTTGTCTTGCACAGAAAGTACACCAGTTTTATTGCCACCATCGTCCCAAATGAACTGAATATATATACCATCATTCATCAATGGGAGACAATGCCTATGCAGAGGCAAACCATTCTAAAGCTACAGCTGGTGGTACTTACCTTGGCCAAGAAATTTATGGTTGGTGAGAAGTACAATTGCATCAGGATATACCGTGTCACAAACACATATAGTGAGCTTAATCGCAGGGGATAAAATAATCATGGGATTGCTCTGAACTTTCTTGATGCGTAACAGCTCTGAAGTATTATGTTCAAGGAATCAAGGTATTTGTAGCCTGCAAAGACTATAGTTTTAAAAAAATTAAATTCACGTTCGAGCATGCTTACATTCGAGGATTGTATAGGTGCAGTTTGTCTGCTTTTTTCAACATGTAGGACTCCCTGTTGACTGCAGACATAGCCACTTCCATTCTTCTCTCTGCACAGACCTAAGCATGGTTATTTGACCACTAACCAAAACTATTACAGAGGCAAATCATCGAGCACATGGTGTGCGTACTGCATAGTGAGTAGCCACCATGGTCTCCACTGTAGGTGTCAGGCACAAATGCGATTGGCACAACGCCAGCGAGGCAGCGAGCAAGCCGGGGCTTGCGGCGGCACGAGGGGGTCACAGGAGGCGGCGACACTGACTTCCGCGTCGCCAAGCGGCGCTGGCCGCAGCCCCCTGCGGCTCTAGAGCTGGCACTTGTCGCGCTCAACAGCAGGTCATTCGTCGTGATCGTTCTCGAGAAGAAGTGCAGTGGGCATCTCGGGGCGTGACAATCTGAGAGGGGGAGGGGCCGAGGGGGAGGAAGCAACAGCGACTGCGACTATCGCGGAGGTGGTGAGGGGGACGGAGCGGCGGCGGCGTGTGGCCTCGAGCAGCGTTAATGGCCGCGCCCGCCTCGCCGGAGGGCGAGAGCCGCACCCATGATGTGGTGGTTCTCCGGGGGCCGCCACGCCCACGCCAGCCGGGTTCGCGGACGGAGCACGGCGGACCGACGGGAAGCACGGAAGGGAGGGGCGACGGCGGCGCAATTGCAGGTCTTGGACGAGCCTGATGGGGAATTCGAGAAGGGAGTGGAGCGCGTGACGCGGTATCACACGGACGGGAGGTAGGATCGACTTAAAAAAAAGTTACACGAAAAAATAATTTGACTTTTATTTTTTTAGTCGTAGGAGAGAAGATATCAATACAGGGTTTTATGAATATTATGAACTAATATGCAATAAAAAAAAGAACTATATACATGCTGCCGTTAACTCTTACTAAGTTACTAGTACTACCATATGATTTCTCATATTACAATTTTTTTAAAAATGTTTAACCTAAAGGGTCTTTAGTTTCCTATTATTCGCCCTAAGGCCCTTAAAACTATGGAGTCAGCCCCTGGTGCAGTGGTGTGTGGAGGGCCTAAGCTACTGCTGGTGTTAATGTTCTTCGACTGCAATGGTAGCTTGGAACAAGAAGCTGAGTAGCTGATCTGATGACTGGATCGGAACTTCGGAAAGTAACCTAAAGTAGGGAGGGGAAAAAATCCTTCAATATCCAGCTTGATCGTTTGGCCATGACTTGTCATAAACAATTATAAATTTTCAGCCAACCGAATATGCTGATCATATCTAGCATCTACGCTAGTACTGGATAGCAAGTAGTAAGAATAAGAACTTATTAGTACAAGGGAAATTCATGAAACTGCAATAGGCCCTTAAAACAAGAGTAGCCTAAGCCTTTCATTCCCCCCTTACTCCTGCTTGAAATAAAAATACGCTTCTGCTTTTCAATATGAACACAACAGCTACTTCTAGCTAAGCTAGCTTGCATTGAACCTAAACACTAGATTTGATGAGTACCAAATATCTCGCCCAATCTGGTGAGTGCTGAAGCCAATATGCAACAGCAGCCATTTTTTTTCATGCTGTCTGACAATGTACAATGCCGTTCTGTATGTTGCCGAGAACCCATTCGCTGCACCAGTTTTCGACATCACTGCCGGTTCAAAATCTTCCTTTACTGTCGGATTTTAAATCGACACTGACATACCGACAGTGATGTGGGGTTGACATCACTGTCGATTCTTATAAACCGACACTGATATGGTTTCTAGAAAATAAAAAACAGGCCGAAAAAATAAGGATTTTTTTTCAATTTCGGGAGAGGCCCCATTGGACAGTCACACGGTCGCACATCGCAAGTCACAAGCCACGCGATTTTTTACGCGAAAAACACACGCTTCGCGGCCACCGGCGTTCAAACCCCTGACCTCCTGCTTCGTGTCTTCAGCCCCTAATCACTCCATCTGCAAGTTGTTTGTGTCCGAATAAGATTTTCGTTCTAGCCATTTTATGTTCATCTGATTTTAAAATGAGTATTTGGGAGTCTAAACGAATTCAAATGAAAAAGTTATCAACTACAAAGTTTTATAACTTTTCGAGATCTACAACTTTCATTTTGGTAGTTTATCCATCCAAGGTCGTTTACAAAATTTGAATTTTAAATTTGAGAAATTCAAACGTAGTTTTCCATGACAAGATGATTTCAAATCAAAAAGTTATTAACTATAAAATTTCATAACTTTTTAAGATCTACAACTTTCGTTTTTGCTATTTGTCCATCCGAGGTCATTTAAAAAATTCAAATTTCAAAATTTTGGAAATTCAAACGTAGTTTTTCTTGATAAGATTATTTCAAATCAAAAAGTTGTCAACTACAAAGTTTCATAACTTTTTAGGATCTACAACTTTTATTTTGGTAGTTTTCCCATCCGATGTCGTTTATAAAATTTGAATTTCAAATTTTAGAAATTTAAACGTAGTTTTCTTGACAAGATGATTTCAAATCAAAAAGTTGTTGACTACAGAGTTTCATAACTTTTTGAGATCTATAACTTTTATTTTAGTCATTTGATCATTTATTCATCTGACATAGTGGTAGTAACATTATTCACAAATGTAAAATATCCCTCTTATAGTTTATGAAACTATAAGACATATACGTAAATTTTGTGAACGATGTCACTACCACTTTATCGATGAAGAAATGACCAAAATAAAAGTTATAGATCTTGATAAGTTCTACAACTTCTATGTTCATGATTTTTTCAGCTGAAATCATTTAGTGTTCTAAAATGACGTTTGAAGTTGTCATTTTTTTTAAATTCAAAATTAAAACGCAGTCACATGAAAAGATGAATAAAATAATAGCTGTAAGAACATAATAAATTGATAGAGCATTATTTTAGAATTTTTTAGGAAAAGAAATCATCAAATTTAAAGTTAGTACGAGAGAGAAAAGACTAGTTACAAGTTTTAGCCAGAGATTAAAAAGAGAAATCAGAGTTCTTCGATAATTTTAAAATTTAATTTCAAATAACATCTTGAAGTAGTAAATGATTTCAAATAAAAAAGTTGTCAACTACAAAGTTACATAACTTTTCGAGATCTACAACTTTTGTTTTGGATGTTTCTCCATCCGAGGTCGTTTGAAAAATTCAAATTTTTAATTTGAGAAATCAAACGTAATTTTCGTTAGATAGATTATTTCAAATAAAAATATTTAGACATCCAAACGATCTTAAATTAAAAAAGTTTAAACTACAAAGTTGTAGATCTCGTCGATTACTACAACTTTGATATAAAGTTCGTCTTAATCGGATACCATATGAGAAACTTATGAATTTTTCTTGCAGCGTATCACTATCGGTTCAAGCCACGAACCGACAGTGATAGTATCAGTGTCGTTTCTTGGCTAAAACCGACAGTGATATGAACCGACAGTGAAGACCCGAATATCAGTGTCGGTTGATCCTATTACAGCCGATTTTAGCCAAAAACCGACAGTGATGGACTATTACTGTCGGTTTCTTAAAATCCGGTAGTGATGAGACCGACAGTGATGTCCAATACTGTACTAGGGATTGTAGCATATATTATCTCCCTGGTGGATGATTGCCGCGGCAGGTGCACTTCTCCTTGTCTTCCTTGAGAGCCTGCAAGTGCATATAGTAAAACTCAGTGTTGCTAAGTTGCAGGATGTGTGCTGGTATGTGTATATGTATGAGTAGTGGATGAAACTAAAGAAGAATGTTGTACAGAATACTGATCGCTTCTTTAAGTTCATTCATGAAGGCATTGATTAAACAAAAAGATGTACTGACATAATTAATGGTAGATCGATCGAATGATAAGCTCATGGATGGCCAGATTATTGGAGGGCCTAATGTGATGCTGAAATCATCATGTATGGAAGTGCACCTCAGATCGACTGCTTCATGTGTGTTTGTGTTTTTGATGGAACAATGCAGAAGTTGGGAAGCTGAAGCAGCCTCAGTTTTCTGACCATATATATATATATATATATATATATATATGTGGAAAACGTGTTAATTAATACGTACATATACCTGCAGCTCGCTCTGGAGTCCTCTGATGTGATCAACTGCTAAATCCAGCATGTCCGCTGTGCTAGTTTGCTGCCGCATTTTAAAGAACAAAAGGATAAGAATGAACTGTGTGCATGCCTGTAAAAACCTGCAGATTGTTGTCTGTTCGAAAAGATAGACTAAATAGCAACCATATGCACTGCATATATAATTATATATATAGAAACAAATATATCATATATTCTGCAGCACGGAATCACGGATAATGTATAATGGATCACCTTGTCCATGTTAGGCACAAGGGCCTGCAGCTTTCTGAGCTTCTCGCTGATCCTCGTTCTTCGGTCCTACAACATCATTGATCACATGTCTGACATTAATCTTAAATAATCTCCAAAAACAAATTAAATTAAAAGGGGTGCAATCAAGTGCCAAGATGCAGAAAATATAATCATCTATCGATTATGACATATATTATGTACATTAATAATTTAAGATCAAGTTACTCATTATCAAACATATTTTCAGTGTTTGGTTATTAGCACAGTCACAGTGCATGAAAACTTGTTACTACTAAGGACCTGTTCGGTTCCTGGGGTTCCGAGGTCAGGAACTGTTCCGGCCAGGATCACTTATCTAATTTATATACACTACTCTCAACCAGGATCTATTCCTGTCCAGAACCACCCTAAACGAACGAGCCCTAAAGGGAACAGTATGCCATCAGGCATCATCAAGAAGATGATGTGGGAATTTACCCGCTCTGCTATGCTCCTTGGATGCGTGGCACATCCACGCTTGGCTCGTACTCTGAAAGGAACTTGGTCTTGCTGCATCTGCAGTAGGTCCGCCATTTCCTTCGCCACACCAAACTGCATCCACAGATCGATGGTAAACATGCAATCAGCAGGCATTACACATACAACTAATTAATTTCCTCTATGGCTGATTGCTTTGTAGTTTGTAGATTAGTATAGCCTTGTAACTAATGTTTCAAACAACCTTAGCATATCGTGATTGGAATAGGATCATGTAGTGTGTGTGTGTGTGTGTGTGTACCAATTTATTTCGAGAAAATCCCTTTCAGCAAGGACATGAAAATATATGTAAAACAATAACTAACATTATAAATGGCAAGAAAAGACCCATTTTATGATAATATAAGTAGTACCATACCTGTAATTCATAAGAGTTACTAGTACTGGCTATGATGTCGTCATTGTTGTGTATTCCTGCTTTGTTTGCCGGGTTGGAAAACACAATAGAATTTGAATCCTCCCATGATCCAATTGAGAACCCACTTGAGAAGGAACGTGCCACATTGTTGGCGGTGATGTTCTCTTCAGAGTGTCCAATACCATGCACATTATTATTGGTGAGATCGCCCGGGATTCCATCCTCAGAGAATTGAGAGAGGGCTCCTTGTCTGGATAAGTTCATGGGGGACTTCATCTTCTTGTGATAGCCACTCATTGCATGGTGAACCTCACCACCGACTCCAGCCCTTGCACTTGGAAAACCTAATAGAAAAACACACAAGATAGATCCATCATTGCTAATTGTGTTCAGGATTGTATGGATGACATGTGTAGAGAATAATGAATGGATTTAATTTGTTGCTTGATGGATGGATTAATGGAGGAATCGATGCTAAATGAATGTCCTGGATAGATGCACAATTATAGATATGGATGCTATAGGTGAATGCATTGATGAAATGTGTCGGACTAGACATTTTGTATCGTGGATTGAGGTATGCTACATGAATGCAGTGATGGAACGTGTAGGATTTAGATATTTTATTTTAACTTAGTGATGAATGGTTGGATGCTAGATGGATGTATTATTGCTCCACGTTATTTCAAAGGAGAGTTGCAAAACATTGTAAAATCACTAGGGAGTAATGCCTAAAAAGCCACATATGCTTGATGCTCCATACCCAGGGGCGGCTCCAGCGTGGGTGCTAGGGGTGCTCAACAAGCCCCCTACCACGCTGGGCTCCATGGAATGAGGAGAGAGGGAAATGGAAAGAGTAAGAGGGAAGAAGAGGGAGAGAAAGAAGAAGAAGAAGAAGAAGAAGAAGAAGCAACGAGAAGGTAGATGAGCAACCCTGGACTTAAGCTCTGCATGTGCCCCTGTCCACACCTGGTTCCCACATCTGAAGGATGTGTGTATTGCTCCGTACATGATTAATGTGAGATATTAGTATTACTTGTGGTTTATGCATTGGAGCATGGACGATCTGGTTATATAACTTAGGTCCTAGATGCCCACAAGACATTAACTTGCCTTTTTGTGGTGTCATAAATAAGCGAGAGTGCGAGACCATTGCTATCTAAACAATGTTGATATAGCTTATCTAGAGTTGGAAACAGAGGGGAGGGGGCTAATATCGATAATCAGGTTGCAATGGCCAAACCAGAGTCGGGGGGTATTCGGGAGGGTCACCAATATGATCCTAAAACCTCTAACACATTGTGTCACGTAAATCTCCCAATACCCGGACGAGCTCGAAGTACCTTATTTCAGCGGATGTGTGCCCCTTCGCGGGAAACCGGAAAACTGGTTGGCAAGGGCTGTAACCAAAATACGAGCTCCTGGAATCTGGAAAAAGAGTTTCATGATGTGCCTATGCTGGTTAGGCTTAGTCCTGTCGCCCCTATTCATTAGGACGCGGACGCTTACTCGTTCTACCCGCTATCAGCTCGAAGAGTAACATACACAACTGCCGACAGCTGCTCACGCGTTCGTTATTCGCCCGCGGTGGCTCCCAACCCGGGACACTGCTATATTAACCTCAGGGCTTCGAGACAATGACCTCGCTTCTTCCACTAAAGAGGCCTACAAAAATTCGAGATCACGTTGCTTAGCGGGTCTTGAAGAAAAACGTGACGCCCTTAGTGTCTATTAACAAACAACCTGCATCGGGTCACGCGCAAATGCCATCGGTGCAATACCATGTCCTATTGATCCGTTCTTTAAACTAGGACTTAATGACGCGCAACCACTATCAAACGCCAGAACACATCGGAACCAGCTTCTCGATTAAAGCGGTGTCACCACCCGAATACGACATTGACAACGTCGTGGAGGCCACGCTTCCGGTTAAGAGGTGTCACCACCCGAATACGACATTGACAACGTCCTGAGGGCTATGCCCAGGAAACCATGTTTACCTACACAAGGTGTTACCACCCGAGCCAAACGCTCACAGCGTCCAAGGAACTACGTTCCTTGAAAAATGGTGAACCACCATGCTTCTTGGTACTCGAGAAAAGTTCTTGGCACCCGAGGAATGCTCTCGGCACCCGAGCAGCTACATACTGGCTCCTCAACACGTGAGAATATCAAGTTGCACTGCTCACAACCTTGGTACCCGATGGACAACTCACTGGTACTCATAGTACTCGGAGCTTACAGGGGTCTGCGATGTCCCGAGGACTAATGCTACCAGCTAGCTTGTCATTAAGTCCTACGGGGGCTACTGCCGGATATATGGGCTAGGGGTATCCGCACCGCTCGTATATGCGACCATGTCCAGGCTATCGACCCAGCAGCCGTCAATAAAGAGGCCCACGAAGGGCCAAGGTGATCGACCAATGTGGAGATCAAGGCAAGCCGAAGATATCCAAGATAGACGTATCCGAATACAAGAGCAGTAGCACCAACTGGAGTAGGGTTTAGCGTGCCACAGCGCCCCGACCAGTATAAATCCTTGTGTCTCGTGTGCTACCATATGATTCCGTCTTCGCAATCACGTTGCTAGGCATTGCCGGAGCTAAATCATCCGACACTAACCCTCTTGAGCGCTCCTAATTGCTCCTTACAAGCCTTGGACGACAACCTTGGTTGGATTATTTGATGCATAGGCTTCCATCTCCTTATTTATATAGTCCCCTTGAAGACCCTCACATATGTAAGTGGAGTCCTATTCCTAGTATGATTCTATATTCAAGTTCTAATAGAACTAGAAGTCCTAATAGCACACCTATCTTGAGTCCTAGTCCAAGTAGGGGATTTGAGTCACCAAACAACATGGAGGATGCACATGCAGAGCCTTCTCACAAACTGAGGGTTCCTTCCTAGGGGTATTGAGGAGGAAGCCTGAGAATGGCTCGAGCAGATCTAGTATCATCACAACAAATGGTCGTTGGGGCTGATGCCATGCTACTCTTCGCCTTAGGCTTCACCGATGAGTCCTAATTATATAGGATTGTGGTGGAAGGTGGTCGGATCCAATCGTTGATGACTCATATACTCGGGGAATATAGGTGTATTAAATGGTTAGTTGAGTGGATGCAAGGATTAATACAAATTTTCTAGAAACCTAACGGATCGCTACCAAGTCAAGAACAACCCAGAAGTGATAAACGTAAATCACTGCTAAGTCAAGGTCACCCTGGGAATGATGGATATAAATCACTGTTGGGTCAAGGACACTATAGCAGTGACGACCAAGGATCACTATCGAGTCAAGGACAACCCAACAGTGATAAGGTATCACTATCGGATATTGTTTTCACCTAACAATGAAACCATGTCACTATATAACTGACGTGTCCCTTCCAAAATTTCATCACCCCACCGTGATGCTCCCAAATTTTAGTCTCCTCTAAGGAATGCGGTCGTCGATGAGCATCACTGCCCCTGAGGACTGCCACCGACACCCCTACCCCCGCACCGCATTCATCGCCCCTGTGAGCACCATTGACCCGTGAATAGAGCCTCTGTCCCATGAGCAACATTGTTGCCCCCATGAGCACCACCTCCGCACACCTCGACCAACATCCATGAGCTAGTGTCCCTCTTCTCCTTCACCCCATGGTGAGAAACCCCCACCTCTTTTTCTTCATCACCACCATTGCTTCCGTTATCCACTTAAGCAGTTAAGCTCAACACTGATACATAGGTCAATGCTCCCTCACTACTAATTAGAGCTAGAAAAGAATACTACTGATTATTTGATTAGTATTGTAAAATGTAAGAACAATTGGTTGTAGTATCCTTTGAGATCTTATAGTGATAGATTGATGAACAACCAAATCTTTTTATGGTTTATTCAAATCTCTAATGGTTGATGAACAACATATAAAAATTACTTCATTCTATTAAATTGGGTACGTAAGGACCTCCTCCACCTTCACCAGCGACACCAGGATATTTTCCTAGATATATGTCATTCGAACCAACTTTGAAGTGTTCGCAATTTCTGCATCCTTCAATAGTAAGGAATCTTATTTTCCACTCAATTTATTATAGTTTGTTACATAATCCTCCTTACATCCTTTTGAAATCTACCCTAGAAAATTGAGGCGCTAAACATATCACCAATGGACAGTTACGACAATGTCATATTGATTTCTTAATCGGTATTAAGGGGAGCCTTGAAGAGGTTATACAAATTTCTGTTATGGGGAAGAGCGCACCCTATAAGAGAACTACTAAGAGGAATGTTGTGAAATCTTGTTTAAAGGCGCTTGTAGAGATTGATATTTTGTGCTTGATTTCTCGTCTATCCAATTACAAACTTTACATGAGGTCAATCCAGATGTGGTAGCAGTAAGTGAAAGGATTGCTCGACACAACAAAAATAATATAGTGCAATCAAATTGGTGCTTAGAATGTATGCTTATACTTATATGTTTCCATTTGTGGTTCTCATATTATGTTTGTCGACATCACTTATAGGTTCTAGATCATGGTTTCACCTATGTTGTTTGTAGCTTCCAATCAATTCTACGTCAAGCCATAGAGCAATTTGGATACCACTAGTACTAAGCAATTGCAACACCCACTTCACATGGATGATACAATCATTTGCATTTTGCTTTGGAACCTAACCCATTTTCATTTAGACTAATATGTTCTATCGTTGGTAGTCTATATGCTCAGCCTTGTGAAGCAAGAGATAGTGCATTGATGCATGTGTCGATTTTTTGAAATGATGTGCTCAGTTTCACAATTGGAGATTGACTACATGGACTATGCCATGCAATGTAATAACCAATATTAGTGGGTGTGCTCCACTTAGTTTGTATTAATGACAGTGCATCTAGCCCTTTAGCGTGTTTTGGAGGATTGCATGCAAACATGATTAAAGGTCTAACGTGTTTGCTAATTGTTGAGCAGGGTCTTGATTTTATCATATGTATTTGAGATATTCTTTATTGAGCGAATCATTGTAAATCAAGACTCAGTTAATTGGCCAAGCATAATATTCCATATGTGGTTGATATTGTGAAGAAATGGCAAGCCAATGTGTGGAAGTGGAAAGAGACACGGTCTTATGCAAATATGTGGTCACATTTTGTTGGCATGCACATATGTATTATGGAGTATTATTGAATCAAATGAAGACAAGACAAGTCATGTGTTGTGATGGATATTCTTGGAAACATGACTTGGACATGATCAATTATCAATTTGGAATTTCACATTAAATCAAAGGCAAGCACAATTGTCAAATTAAGCAATTGACAAGCATAAGGTGGAAATATCGAAAGGGACATGTCTTTTATGGATATCAAAATTGGTCTCTCATGTGAAGCTTATTCATATTGCACATGGATGAAATAGATATTTCATATTTGATTAAAAAAAGATGAATAATGAAGCTTGATTGATCTCAAGATTGTTGATTCTAGAATATATTCAAGCAAGGATGATATTGTGGATGAAATGGATTTTGTGATGTGATTTAAGGATGGTTTGATAGATTGAAGATAGCAAGGAAAGGGCTTCGAGGTACTAAGTGAAGGTGAAGAGCAAGCAATGGCTTGAGCATTTAGGTACCATGGATACTTTCATTGAGTCAAGGCACTAATCAAGCTATGAGGACTCGTATCTTGAGGAGAATCAAATCATTGTTGGATCATATCAAGAAATAGTAGTGACTTGAAACCATAAAGTGAACTCATATGTGTTGAAATGGTTCAAATCACATGCTCGAGTTGGTTGTTCTCAAAATAATGGAGGCAAGTTGGTTGCAACTCTTTAGAAGACAATACGAGAAGAAATGGCATATGAGAAGACATAAAGCTCAATTGAACTGAATTATGTTTTTCGTTTAATCCTGAATTAATATGAGAAGGGTGCAACATGATGCGAATGATAACTCTATAGTGCTCAAGAAAACACATGTGATATTTGAGAGAGAGCAACCCAAAAACTAACTTTGAGTGTGCTAGAGGAAACATACTACATAATCGGGTATGCACTGCCAGCACTGTTAAGGTTCAGAATTTCTGAGGAATTTTTTAGGGAATTTTCGATCATGGGTTCTCTATCTTGGTGGATCAAAAAACTCTAAGGACGATGATTGGAATTCCC